GCCATATAATTGGAAAGTATAGCAAGCCATGTTGCCATATAATTGGATCGTGGCTGACCCACTGATGCAATCAAAAACCCGACACCGGCCCAGCCTGCCCGAATTTTGGTTGGGCTGGGCCGGGCTTCGGACCTGGGTTAGAAATAACTTCTCTAGTTCAGAAACTCACCTCAGCTGAGTTGAGCTGTTTGTACCGGCAGTTTTCGAGCATGTGAGGGAAGAAGCAGGCAGCATGAGCGCTACCTTTAGCTTTTTAGCTAGTGTGCCTGTATTGCATTACGCCTGTGTGTGTGTGTGTGTGTGTGTGTGTGTGCGCGCGCGCGTGCGCGCGCATGCGCATGCGCTGGTGGTTCAGTTCAGTAGGCGGGGCCCTCGGTTCTGTTGACGAGGCAGGGCACCTCGCTTGTATAATGGTAGGGTAAACAGTGCAATTCATGAAATGCAGGTCCCTTAATAAAAATAATCAAAAGTTTGAGCATGCATTAATCTTTCTTGTTTCTGTTTGTATTTTCAGAGAGTGAGGGGCATGTATGTCACTCCCTGTGTAAGGGGGGCTGTTGGGGTCCGGGGCCCGGCCAGTGCATGTCCTGCAAGTCTTTCCAACGTGGCACTGAGTGTGTAGAGCAGTGCAGCATCTACCAGGGGTAAGGCTGTTCCTGTGGGTGTGTTTACAGTAAATTAATAAATAAGCCAGTTGATAATCTCCTTAAATGATGCTGTTTGTGATAAATCTAAACATGAAGCGCAAATATGAGATGAACAATGTGGAAAGCTGACAACAGATTGATTTTTGTTCCGTCGAACTGGTCACAACACGGTGAATCAATCTGAAAGCTTTTCTCTTGAAGTGTGCCCTCAGGCAGGGGATAAAGACTGACACTGACATGGTGCAATGTCGGACTGTGTGTAAGAGTTTTGTGTCCAAGTTGACAAAGCAAACCTGTAGATCTGTTTTTAAATGTTTGGTTTTCAGACTGTTCTCATTCATAAAGAAGCTAAACTCAAAAAACACTTTATTTCATTATTATATAAAGACATGCATCAGATTTAATTCCCATCTTTTCTTCATGTTTTAGACCAGGAGAGAAAAATATTTTATTAAAGTGTCCTGATCAAGACGATCAGCAGCTCAGACAGCATTAAAAGATTACTCATCTCAAAAAACAACATTAAAAGGATTATATCTACAAACACTGTGAACAACATCATATTAAATGATTTACCCATTAAGTTCATGCATCAGCTTTTGCAAACAATATTTTTAATAATTTAAAATACATACAGATGTTTGTATTTAGAAAGAATAAACTTAGTTTCAATTTACTCGAAGAGATAAGTTCGTCAGTATTCAAGTTGAGCTGGTTTGTGTGTTCATTTAAAATGCATTTTTCCCCAAACCTAGTTAAAACTCCTATATATAAACAGCAAAAGAAACAGATTTCCTTATTGAATGCAGAACGTTTTGTGCTTAGATTTGTAAACGAGATAGAAGAAAGCCAAGAATAGCTCTGTAAATAAAAATAAATCAATGTTTTAGTCCAAAGAAGAAAGATAAAGCAGATAATCCAACATGAGAATAGAACATAAGAGTCAAAGTTTCAAGGTTTGTGTTGTACTTCCATGCACCACGGTAGACTGCATCAAGGGCATGAGACATAAAGATACAAATCTGTACCAAATACAAGATACAAATCTGTTTTAGCCTAAAAATAAAGGCTTCATTCTAAATCAAGATATTGAGTTTCACTTCATGGAAAGTCAGACCTAAATGAAAGGAAATTTTTAATCAGATTATTTAGTGAATGTCAGTGAAGAACAGGTGGAAAATTCAAGAACTTTGATGTCGAATCGGAGAACGTTAGTTTTGCTCTCGGCATTCAACACTACTTTGTAGTAAAGTTTGCTGAACAGCATTGCAAGATTGTTGGAGCTAATAAAATGTTTCATAAGATGCAGTAGAGTACATGACAGTATTGTCAGCGTAAAGTGAATTCTGACTTCTTGATCAAATGTAAATGAAACGAGTGTGGCCCCAGAACTGATCCTTGCGGGACGCTACAGGCTACATGTAGGATGTCAGAAGTCGCACCTTCTACCTTCATGCACTGAAACATTTTGACCATTTTTAAACCACCAAGCACCTTATTTTGCTAACCCAATATCGATAACTCTTTGTTATAGAGTTGCATGACTCGTTGTCTTGCACTCAGTCATACAACGCTTAGTTTTGTCTTTGTTTCGTATAAATCAAATTACAAGTGTCAAATAAAGTTTGGGTCCATAGTGTGAAATTTTCATCGTAACTCTTTGAATACTAGCATTTTTAATTTTTGAAAATTAAAAAATGTTAAATTTACATCTCCACAAATATACTGACAACATCCTGTGCAGCTCCGCAGGTTATTAGCAGCGGACGCCTCGTGACTTCAGATGAAAGTATCTGACAGATGTCAAACTGTTGGCTGTTAGACTCACATTATGTTTGTGTTGCAGGGCTAGGCGTGAGTACAAGAATGGATCTTTGTGTATTGCTTGTCATAAAGAGTGTCGGCCTGTCAACGGCTCTGCTTCCTGCCACGGCCAGGTGAGACATGCAGGCATATCAGCATGTGTACTCTGAAGTGAACGCCACTGTGCTCCTCAACCTGTTTGTTTCATTTGTTGTTTTTTAGAGCTATGGGTGCATTCTCACAGGGTTAACTACAAACTAGCATGCACTTTTATTTTTTGCTGAACCAGTCCAAGGCTGGGTTTATTAGTCCTGCAGCAACAGAACTCATAGAACTTGTTTTGAACCTTCACAATAAAAGTCTCAAATCCATACTCTTGAGTTTTACCCTCCAAAACTCTAAACATCTGAAGCTTATGAAAATAACTTATGTTATTGTTACTCAGTGAAACAAATACGGCACCTGGACTTTTTAGAGTATTCAGAATTCAGAACTCAGTATATGGGTGTGAGACTCTTATTGTGAAGGATTGAAACCAGTTTTATGAGTTATGCTGCGTCGAGAATAACAAAAAAAAAAACAAAGATAGCCAGTGCAAATAGCTTGCTATTTGTAGCACTGTGGGATGTTATGTACAGCTCTTGATGTTTATTTATTTATTTTTATTTCTCTCTTTTCAGAGTGCAAAAGATTGCGTGGAGTGTCAAAATAATCAGGACGGAGAGTTGTGTGTGGATCGCTGTCCCAGTGGTGGGCTGAAGGATCGTCAGGCTGTGTGGAAATACAGCAATGCCACAGGACACTGTCTGCCCTGCAACACTAACTGCACTATACCGTGAGTAAAGGCAGTGAGACTCTCACAAACAGTGCAGCTTAAATCCACTTATACTGTGTATTTTTATTTAAGCTGCGCTGAAGTGGACGAGAGAGGCTGCCCCGTTGATATCACGACTGGGTGAGCAAGTTCAGCTGTTAAATAGTGTTTGTTGGAGTTTGTCCGCTCAGGTTTTCTGCAGTTTTCCATTTTTATTCAAAGACACAGGAGTTATCTGATACCGTTTCTGTTCAGACCCGGTACAACCATCGCCGCTGCTGTGGGTGGAGTCGTGCTGTTTTTCATCCTGCTGGCTCTGCTGGTCTTTTATCTGAGGCGGCAGAAAAAGATGAGGAGGAAGGAGACCGTGAGGAGGTACCTGCAGGAGCAGGAGGTGAGCGCTGAGATCGATGAGTTTTCACCACAGTCGCGGTTTAATCTGAAGGTTACCTGACGACTTCCTTCCTTCGTGTCCAGCTGGTGGAGCCTTTAACCCCGAGCGGTGCGTCTCCCAATCAGGCTCAAATGCGCATCCTGAAAGAGACGGAGCTGAAAAAAGACCGAGTGCTGGGCGCAGGAGCGTTTGGCACGGTGTACAAGGTGTGACAGCTAGACGCAGAGCTGCAGCTTTGTGCTCGTTTTAAAAAGCTTAGACTGACGTTAACTGTCTGTGTTTTAGGGGGTGTGGGCGCCTGAAGGAGAACATGTGACAATACCTGTGGCCATTAAGGTGTTGAGAGAGAACACCTCACCTAAAGCAAATAAAGAAATTCTTGATGTGAGTACACATTTAGAATTTGGAGGTTGATTATATGAATATGTATGCAGGAATACGTGCGGTATGCATTCTTACTGTAATTTGATAGATAAATTGTATGTACCCTAATTTCTGGACTATAAGCTGCTACTTTTTTCACACGCTTTGAACACAGCAGCTAATTTATGGATTTTTTTTCTTTATTGTCATTCATATTACATGAGGTGGAATGAAACTATGTTTTATTTTTTTATTTTTTTGATGGGCTAACGAGCTTCATGCCACCAAAACATTTAGCTTTGTCACACCCTGGTGCTCACATAGCTGCCCAATACACATCTCTCTTGGGGGGGGGGGGGTAGCGATCAATGATTTCATGGTACACTACTGTATTTTTTTTACCAGCTGTGTTACAGACACTGTTCAGAAAAAAACATTTACTGTATTTGTGCGTGTTACCGGCACGTATTTAATTAAAAGTTAAAAATATATATATTTTTGTGTAAATATCTCATGTTACAACATGAACACCTGCAGCTTATAGGCAAGTGTGGCCTATTTATGTAAAATGTTCATCTTTTTAAATTCAGCGTGCGTGGCTTATATTCATGTGCGCTCAGTAGTCCAGAACTTACGGTATTTTAATGCATAGAAATGCCCAACTAGGGACTGGAGTTGTGAATTAGTTACAGCTATATACTTTTTGTGCAACACATCAGTCACAGACTTGTTCTGGTCTATGCTTGTGTGCATTGTCCATGTCAAATAAACTAATAATAATAACTAAAGTCAGAGCAGCCATCGCCTGAACGAGTTGTGCGTTTTGATATGATTGACTGAATTAGCACAAAGTTAGAAAAAACGAGAAACTCTACGTTCACACAGTGATGACATCAACCTGAATCACAGTTCATTAACACCTTTGTGGTGCCTGCTCTCAGGAGGCCTATGTGATGGCAGGGGTCACCAGCCCGTACGTCTGCCGCCTCCTGGGTATCTGTCTGACCTCCACGGTGCAGCTGGTCACTCAGCTGATGCCGTACGGCTGCCTCCTCGACTACGTCCGCGAGAACAAGGACCGCATTGGTTCTCAGTTCCTCCTCAACTGGTGTGTCCAGATTGCCAAGGTACACAAACGTCTGTTGTTGTTCCACAGCAGGGTTTAACATTTGTGCAGTGTGAAGTTGTACGTGTGTGTGATGGAGCTCTGTGTGTGTGTAGGGGATGAGTTATTTGGAGGACATTCGCTTGGTCCACAGAGATCTGGCTGCTCGTAACGTTCTCGTAAAGAATCCAAACCATGTGAAGATCACAGACTTCGGTCTGGCCCGTTTGCTGGACATAGATGAGACGGAGTATCACGCTGATGGAGGGAAGGTAAGACGACGAATCTGTCGAGTCCGTTCTACCGGCTGCACGGTGTGTTTAACCAGCGTTTCTGTATTTCCAGGTGCCGATAAAATGGATGGCTTTGGAGTCCATTCTGCACCGGAGGTTCACTCATCAGAGTGACGTCTGGAGTTATGGTCAGTGTCTGTCAGCGCAGAGCTGACTGATGCTCCACGGATGTTGATAATGAAACAAACTGTGCTGTTGTTCTCTCTCAGGAGTGACCGTTTGGGAGCTGATGACGTTTGGCTCCAAGCCCTACAACACGATCCCAGCACGGGACATCCCAAATGTTTTGGAAGGAGGAGAGCGGCTCCCACAGCCCCCAATCTGCACCATCGACGTCTACATGATTATGGTGAAATGTCAGTACAGCAGCACGGGTTTTTAATTTATGCCCAAGTTTTAACTAACTTATTTATACACTTGTTTTAAATGTGCAAACACATAAATCTGGCGAGAAAAACAATTTCCTGTTTTTATTATTTCTCACTTTGTGTTATCCTGGATAATAATGGCGTCTGTTCGTGTTTGTGTTGCAGGTTGGATGATTGATCCAGAGAGCAGGCCCAAGTTCAAAGATCTGGTTCAGGACTTTAGTCTCATGGCAAGAGATCCGTCTCGATTTTTAGTCATTAAGGTAATTCTTGACATTCTTGCTGCTGTTCTGTTGTGTTAAAGCTGACCTTGTAAATAAACCTCGTGTGTTGTTGCTGTGTTTCTGGTTTACTCCAGAACGACGAGCAGATGAGCACTTGCAGCCCGGTGGACAGCAGGTTTTACCGGATGCTTCTGGAAGAGGGGGACAATATGGGAGAAATAATGGATGCTGAGGAGTACCTGGTTCCCCAACCGAACCTCTTCGCCAGAGCTAACGGAGAGGAGCCCCAGGCCAACGGGCCATCCAGGCACCAGTCGTACAGGGTCAGTGAATCAGAACGTTGGTTTTGTTTCTTTCATTGAACTCAGCGACGACGGCCGTGCCGCATCATACCACGATAATACAGCTATAATGTTTTCTGATATAAAAAGGTTCTGATTTTAAATCAATAACATGAATATAATGACTGTACCTAGTTATTTCCCACCTACTGTGCACCTGAAAGGACAATGTTTTTGCCTGTTTGTTTTGTAGACTTAGCAAAATATCTCATAAACCGCTGGACAGGTTTTAATGAGACTTTCTGGGAATAATCTGGAAATAACTGATTAACTTTCGGAGCCAGTCCAATCCAAGTTGGCAACCACAGCTAGCTGACCGTAGAAAACAATAAAATGTCTGCCACTCAGTCAGTTTTGCAAATATGAAGCAACATTTGGTGTGGTAGTAGCGGAAAGTCATTCCCATCACACATGTCATGCTCCAACAGGTCTGCCAACACAACACAAGACAGCAGCTCTAAACTGTTTCTAACACTGGTGCCGTCTTTATCTCGGACTGTAAAATGTGCTTTCTCCCCAGCAGAGCAGAGATCAGAGCTTGGACCTGGAGCCCTCCATCCCTGCTGGCCCTCGGACCATGTACTCCTCTCAGGGTACTCTTGGTCGTGGTCAGTATCCCACCGCACCACATGGAGCAGGCGTAGCTAACGGCGTGTGGCCTCCGTTGTTGGATCGCAGCGTCTCAACAGGAGCCCAGTCCGACTCCGTCTTCCTGGATGCGGTTCCAGATGGACACTCGCAGCCCCCGATCAGCCCTGGACGCTACTGCAAAGACCCTACTTATCCCATCGGGAGCCAGGGCGACCTGGAAACTGACGGGGTGGAGGACTTCCCTCGTCCTCCCCTTCATCACTCTCTGCCCAGGCGGAGTCATGTCCACAACCACCATCAAGCCATGCCAGGTGAGTGGACGTCATTATTACACAGGGAAGCAAATCTTGGATTGTTTTCTGACTTTTACTGCCTTGTCTGATCTTACAGAGTACGTTAACCAGGAGATGCAGGATCTCAGGTTTGTAATCCCCGAGCGGCCCACCACTCTTCCACGTAAAGGCTCTAAAGCAGACAGACGAGTGCCCAATGGTCTGAGCTCTGGTCACAGCATGGACAAGCCAGGTCACCTGGTATCTGTGAACTCCACGTCCTCTGCCTTTGACAACCCGTACTACCTGGACCTTGTAGCCAAAGCTGCCTCCGGGGCTTCAGCAGTGGACGTCCCTTCAGCTTTAGAGAACGACCGGGGAGTTAGCAGGCACGTGAACGGTTTCGTCACTCCCACTGCAGAAAATCCAGAGTATCTCGGACTGGTGGACACATGGACTGGACATAGTTGAGGAACAGAAATGGGAAGTAAAGACTATATTCTTCAGAGGAAAACAATCAAAAGGGAAGACGAACATTTGTCTGCACGGGGACGTTGATGTTGAACAGAAAAGCACCCGAACCTTTTATTAAAATGACTCAACACAGCGTAGCGTTAATGTGATCTCTCTGGCATCAGGTTTCCTGTCACTCCTCAACAATTCTTGACTTTTTAGTGCCAAAAAATGTACTCAGTCTTTGTAAATAACTTGATAAGCGAAGGAGTTCACGATAGTGAAAAGCTCACGATGGCCGGGTACGAGTCAAACGGACTGGATTGATGAGTTCTGACGTTTCCTTCATGTTTAATCTCTTCAGTCGTATAAAGCAGCTGTTTATTCCCTCAGCTTCTACAGACCCCTAAAAAACACTTTGACAAAGTGCACCATGATATGCATTGAAAATCATGTTTAGTATTCTGCTCGCTTTCTCCCAAACTCATTGAGGGTCTTCAGCACTTTCAAAGCCATTTTGTTTGGAACTGAAAAGGCCCTGCAACCCATCTGGCCTTTAGGCATGCTCCCCCAAAGAAAGGCATCCTGTATGGAGAAGACAGCAGCTTTGTGCCACACTGATGTATGTGTCTGTTAGTGGCTGCAGCTTCTGCTACAAGAAATCACTTGTGAGGTACGAGTGACGACAAAACAGACATTTTTGGCATTAGGACGTAATTAATGAGGCATCGGTTTTTAAAAAAACAACGGAAAATCGCTCTCGTTTAAACCGTGCGAAGTGAATTAAAATAATGTCTGCCTCCAAAGCTTGTGTTGTCCCATACAGCTGTTTGCATTTGTTGGTTTTTCATTGAGCAGCAACGCTCCTTAAGCTATTAGATTAATATATATTTTTCAAGAAAGGAGGACTTTGCAGCAGTTGTCTGCACAACGCAGCTGAATGTGACTCTGAGGAGACGAACGCACGGCTCTGCTCCGTTTCCATAATCCATGCATGGTTCAAATTCCACTCATCGAGAACTCGCTCCCTTCCCGGTTAATAATCAACAGCGTCATTTGAAGGCTGATTCTTTGTTTTTCATGCTAACTGGCGTTTGGCTGAAGGAGGCCGAAGTCCATTCAATGCAGCCTTTGTCTGACCCCGTGTCCTCTGTGTCCTCCTAACGTGCACGTCCCTGAGGCGGACAGCTTCACACGGCTGAGAGGGAATCAGCCGTCTGCACTGAGAGCTGTAATCCCAGGAATAATTTGATTTATCAGACAATCTGATGCTCTTGATTCAGCTCTAAACACTTAACTGCTGACTTTACACTCTGAATTGTCTCAACGTTGACTAAATGGAATCAGTAGTGCTGACATGTTTGTTGAATGTATAAAAACGCCACAATCGTGACAATTTTACTAATTTTTTTTTAGATAAATTTCTTGAATCCATATTTTAACACTAAAAACTGCGGGCTTATTTTGATATCTCATTTGCTGGGTTAAAGCTGTTGGCTCATCGGTTGGTTTGACTAAATGATGGATCAACTTTTGACCCAGTGTTAAAAACAACCAGAAGTTGACCAAATCAGACTTTAGGATTTACAGGGGAAAGAAAAGACGATACAAACTACATAAGAAGATTGCTTTAGTAGCTTTAGTTTACACCAAAGATTGAGTTTGGTTTTCTAACTTATTAGTTGTTGATAGCTTCCTGATGCTAATCGCAGCCAGCTAACGCCAACTCGACTTATTTAATAACCCCGATATAGTTTGTTCTTTTAAAATCACATTTTAGTAGCTCCAACATGACAAAATAGCCATTTTAACCCAATTTTAAATAGAAAACTAAGAACCTAACCCTGTTTTAAAACTTCACTGGGTTACAAATTGGATTGTTAATCATGCAGTTTTTAGTGCGTGAAGTCCTTAAAAAAATTATTTTTACTTGAATTCATATTTTTAATGTCATGGGTTTTATTTAAATACTTTAAACTCTCACAAACTAAATAATATTTAGATTTTTTAAATCTATAGGATACTTATTTCAGTCTAAAAATGCATTTTTTTCCTTCATTACTTCAATATTTCCCCATGCGGTCATTGAAACGGTAGTTATCTTTATTACTTTAAAATATTTGCTGTTTTTTATCCTTCCTTTATATTTTTAACCTTAATAATAATTAAGCATGGCTCACAGGTGTCTCATTGTTTGAGACAAAACTGATATGCAATCATAAATTGTACACTATAAAGGTTTTATATTTTAAATAAATAATAGAATTGTGTCTCTAACCTGCACAACTGAGGGTCGAATTGCCTTAAAACTGTTTTCTCCTTCGATTCATGCGTTTATTGACCTCACTGATTCGATTTAAACGCGTCGGTTCAGAGTTAAAACGTTGACCGATTGAACAAGTGGTTTTATAAAACAAGAAGCAGGTCAAAAACACGCCTGTGGCTGTTTTTAACCAACTCTTCTATCATCTACACAAGTGTTGGTGAGTTTTTAGTGTGCCAAACCAGAACACAGGTTTGTCAAAAATCAAAAAAAGCATCTAAAGAAAAAAAATGGGCCGAAGGTTTTAGAATGTTAAACATGTGCGTTATGTTTTGAAGAAAATGTACATTTTTTGTATTTTTTGTGAATGTATATTTTTTATGATTGTGCCAGGGTTTAAATAACTGCCTGTGTATTGGGAGTTTCTGCACACTGCCTTTCCTTTTGTATGGGCAGTGAGGCCCATTTCGTAAAAGTTTAAAATGTATATACGTAAAATCAATCAATGTGGTAGCTAATATGAAAACACATTAATGTTCATTGCTTTACTGTTTGGAGAATTGAGATAAAATCCATGAAATGTTTTTAAAAAAAGTGTTTATTTTTATCAAACAATTCAAACACCATTCATTATAATTGGTCTAACAGAGAGTTAAATACATTTATATCAGATGTTGGGCAAAATTGTAAAAATGTTGACTTCCTATCAAAAACTTTATATTAAAAATAAAAAAAATGGTAAATTAATTTAGCTTCAATTGTTGTAATAAAAAAACAAGTTATTTATGCTGAACTTTTCTTTATATTGAATGTTGGTGTAAATGTTAAAGCTGGTTGGTGTTTCTTCACTTATTAAATGCAGGTGATCATTCACAACAAGTGAATTCCGCCACCCAGTGGTGCAGCATGGAACTACAGCTCTAAATATGACCTGTTACATTATTTTGATTTTCCTCCTCATGAAGATATCACTGCCTTTTTGAGATTTTGACATTTAAAAGTGCTCAACAGATTTCCAGACCTGTCACTCCTTGACAACATTTTGACATAAAAAATATTTATATTAGTTAAGGGATGCAAAAAGTATTTCTCCTTTTCTGTGGAAATCATGCATTTACCCTACATTTAGGGTTCAAATTATTTTTTAAACTTAAACGCTGTTTCCGTTTACATTTTTAAACACCTCCATGCTTTTTTAAAAAGTCGTCTTTTTCACATTTTATGGAACTGATACAATCTGCAAAATAACTTCAATGTAACGATCCACCCTGTTTTTATTTTGCATGACGTGTCTCCAAACTGGTAAATTACATTACTAGATGTACCTATTACAAAACATTGTGTACAATTATAATTATCTTTGTTGTTGAAGCATGAAAATAAGATATGTTTACCTGCAGACCTGGGTGAGTGAAACTGTTCTGGAAAATCAGCTGATCATCATCATTTACTGGTTATTGTACATTAAAAGGGCCCATGTAAATTTATTGAAGATTTAATTTATTAAAGAAGTCCAGGACTATTCAGAAAATTAGTATTCATATAGGAAAAAAAAAACATCCTTAAAATATTTAAATTAGTTAAGGGATGCAAAAAGTATTTCTCCTTTATCTGTGGAAATCATGCATTTTGGGAGTGGTGGCGCAGAGGTTAGAGAGGTGGGCTTGTGATCCAAAGATCGCCGGTTCACGCCCCGGCCCCGACAACATCAAAATTGTGGGTGGGGTAGGTGAAACATCCACACTTGCCCCCACCCTCATTCGCCCCACTCTGGGCCCATGAGCAAGGCCCTTAACCCCACCATGTGCTCCCTAAAAACAGGTCTCTCTTGAAAATGAGTTCTCGTGGCTCAATGAGACTAACCTGGATAAATAAAGGCTAAATGAAAAAAAAAAAAAAAAAATTATCCTGTATTGTACTTCATAGGGTGTTTTGTAAGTGAGATCTTTCTTTGTGCCTTTCAATGTTCAGAGTCAGAGTTTCTTTATTTGTCGGTCCACCACATGTGGGTGGTGGACCGGAATTGTGAACACAGTGTCCCAACAATAAAATGTACAAGAAAAACACTAATAAAATCTAAGATGTGAACTAAGAAAAACATTAACTAAAAATACACCAAGCACTAATAGCATGAAAACAATACACCGAACAGCAGCACGAACATGAGTTTGAACAGATGAGCACGCATGAACATGAAACAGATCAACAGCAACATGATGTGATTTTTAACAGTGAGAGATTCATGAGTCTAACAGCCTCAGGGTAGAAGCTGTTCCTCAGTCTAGTGGTTCTACACTTAATGCTCCTTAACCTCCTGCCTGAGGGGAGTGGGGCAAAAAGTGTGTGTGCTGGGTGAGTGGGGTCTTTCATGATGCAGGTGGCCCTCTTCCTGTATCTAGAGGTGTAGATGTCTGTGATGGTGGGGAGGATGACTCCAACAGACTTTGGAGTTGTAATTATTACATGTGGCGCACCACAAGGGTGTAAGTTTGGCCTTCTACGATTCTTCCTAAGTTATCATTGATCCAATCTAAGTATTTTCCAAATATTAGTGGATCTCGTAAGTTTGATCCAGACAACAGAAATGTAGAATTTTCTTAACAATAAACTACCACAAACCTGATGGACCCAGAACACACAGGGATTCAGAATTTAATTATAAAGTATGAACTACATCTGTGAGGCTGAAAATTGGGGTGTGATATTAGATTTATAACGAATCTAAACATTTTTTTCAGTGTTAACCAAATCAATTTGTGTTCATTTTTCTTTTAAAGATCTGAGCTTTTGTTTCAAAACATTTGGTTTATCGTAACCGATAATTTGTTGTTTCCACTTGACATTAGCTAAGGCAAAACTGTCTGATTAATTTGGCGTGGTAGTAACGGTCATCCTCAACCAGCGTTTCAAGAACTAACAGATCTCACAATATTTAGGAATTGTGCACATCGTTTACAAGGTTTGACTAAAATGGTTATACGTCTGTCCCTTCTCATTATAAAATGAGCTGAGATTCAAAAAGGG